CTAAATGTAGCTAAATTAATTATAATAATTAGCATGTAATTAAGAAAAGACTTAGAAAAATAATGAAAAAGAAAATTTACAGAAAAATTATAGTATTGTTATACTAAACTTTAGAATGAATATAAAAGTAACAAAATTAGCTAACAATATTAACACAAGATAAGATAAAGTGCAAAAGAAATACAGCAGCAACTAAAAACCAAACACCTAAGCAACAGGCCTTTTGGCCAATATACAACTTTCTGTTTAAAGCAACAAAGCAAATTAAAATAGAAAGCTATAATACTAGAAGCAAGGCCAGTAGCAACATTAAAAAAACAAACTCAAAAGAAAACAAAATATATATAAATAGCACAGCCACAAAGGCAAAAAAACTTTATACCAACTCTGCTTTATCATACAAATAACTAAAAAGTAGTAAAACTGATTTAACTTAGACCACACAAAGTTAATTTTTTGGTTCTTATAATCTGGCCAGATCTATAAAACCAAGTTAGAAAATTAAAATTTATTGAGGTACAGCAAAGAATCAGCCAATTAGAATTGGTAGTAAAATATTACAATCACTTGTTGTACTGTAATTGGTTGATTTATCATCATATAATATAAGTAACAAGAGGAAATAACTCTAGCATCATCCTCAAAAAATAGTAGCCAGACAGATTTGTCAGGTACATGTTATTATGTGATTTAGATTTGATTATTAACAATTTTGATTACAAATTAAAAAAAGTTGATATACTTATAAAATTTACTATTATTATCACTATGTACTTGTAAAATTTATTATCATTACTAAATAGAAATAAAAAACAAATGCTTGTATGTAAAAAAATTAAATTTAATTATAAATATAACCAAAAAAAATATAAACAATAAAATTTTAAGTGATTCATGTTATTCATTAAAAAAATTCTTATAAAAAACTTAGAGACCATATTTATTGTTTGATAATGATTCTTAAATATACTAAGAACATTTTCTGATTAGTAATTAAATTGTTTATCAAATCCAAATTACATAATAACATGAACCTAGCAGATCTGTCTGGCTACTATTTTTTAAGGATGATGCTAGAGTTATTAAAGAAGAATCATTAATTTATACTAAGTGAGGAATTATATTCATCACACTTGAAGTATATATAAATTATTTTAATTTAACTGATCACCTTATATAAATGACAAGGTAAGGATAATATACATTTTAGAGTAAACTCAAAATAAATAATTTTATTGATGATTAATTATATTATATGTAACATTAATGTTGATAGCTTTAGTGAATAGAAAAGCAATAAATTTATTTAATAAGTTTGCTTTAAATAAATTTTACAACTATATACTAATGAAAGTATTATAATTCATAGTGGTTTGAGATAAACTTAGATATAGGATTTGTTAGTATTACTTTCACTGACTGGTTTCTGACTATAACATTTTTTGAATTATTCATTCTAACACATTTATTACAAACTGGTCACATATTTCTTGAAACTGCTTTCTTATTAGAAACACTAGTACTACTACACAAGTAATATATAATAGGGTAAATTTTTGCTAATTAATACAGCTTTTCTATTAGAAAAACACATATTAAGGAATTATTTACAAAGACTCAAATAAATAGTTTCTGAACAGAATCTTTAATATTTTTTGTACTGCTATTAGTAAGATCTCTGGATTCAGTATTACCATAATTAACACTATCTTGATCAGTTTGATCATTTTTATTTTTATTAAGATCTGCATCATGTTCGTACTCATTATTAAAATTATCATAACCTTTATCATTATAATTATCATCACTATTATCACTATCATCACCTTTATCATCATTTTTTTTATTATGCTCATCAAGAGATTTTGATGATATTGCTGACATTAGTTAACTAGTATTCTTAAATGTTGTTTTATATGAATATAAGATCATCTCTAGGAATTAATAAAGCATTTTGTGATCCTTATCTGATAACTTTCTTGAACTAAATAAAAGTTGTTGTTTATCACAATTCACACAAGTAACAGTAATCCCAATATTTTTAGCATAAAATGCAGAAGGGCAAAAAGGCATTGTATACTTCTTATATTTTTTAACATTTGATTTTGATTTGTAGCAAGAGGGTCTATATTGTTCATTTGTTTCACTTCGATATAATTCTTCAAAAGACTTATAATGCAGATCATTTTCCAAAATTGAATCTGAAAGAAGATGAAACTGGTCAAATATCTTGCATGTACATTGAGGAGGTCTGCAAATAGTGCAATTATCTTTTCAGCATTTCTTGATTGTAAAGAAATAATAGCATATTATACAACAATGATCATAAAATTTTTTTAAGTATAGCTTTTAAGAAAAAGAAAAAAACCAACCTATTAGTATATGTTTTATCTGCATATTAGCATTGATTTGTATACTAATTACTTACTCTTTGCTTTACATGTTCCATTGTACTAATAACACAAGTCATGGTATCATCAACCAAGTAAATTGTTTTCTAAAAATTTTCTATTTTCTCATCTGTTATGGTGCTAAATTTTCAAATAGCTCATCTTTTAAAAACTGTCTTTTGAATACCTTATGAATAAGATAAATAGGTTCTTGGATACTTTTTAAGAGTTTGTCTTTAAAGGTAGGATTCAATTCCACAATATCCCTAATTTTTTTTATTAAATTTACTTTACTAAAAAGCTTTTTATAATTGTTATTTATCTTGGAGCACATCAATCTGATACTTTGCAGTTCAAGATTAAGTATTAACATTACATATTCAACTGGGTTCTTCAATAAATAAAAAGGTGGTGTTCTTATTGCTACAAAATAATTGAGATCCAATTTCAAGAATAAACAAATATATGATAATTGAACTCTTATGAACATGCATCTGTGATCAAATTCATTATCTGTGTAAAGACACAGTATTGATTTATTTATTTCATTTGTTAAAAAAGTGTTATAGAGCTTCATTATGTGCTGCAAAGAAGAGAAGAGTTGAAATATTAGATCTTTTAATCCTATTTTTACTTTATCTGAATAGAAATTATCACTGATTATTTTTGAGATATTACATATCATTATAACACTCAAAATTATTCAGTTTTAGTATAATCATAATTATTTACTGTAAATGTTGTATCTTTTTTAATTATTACTTGCTTGTCTCTTACACTGCTGCCACAGAGTGTTCAGGTTCTTCAATTTTGCATTAATGTTTGTCATCAAAAAACACAAGTATTGTAATATCACAAAACTTAACAGAAAACTCTTTCTTATACCAAAAAAATGCTGAAGCATAGTGAGCATCTGAATGGTCTGCACATAATTGCCAGGCTTGTATCATAAATTTTAGAGATAAGTAACCTTTATATTATAAACTATTTTTAAATATTAAATTTTTAGACCAAAATTGTAATCTTAAACATTGTTTACTAGGAATTGACATGTTAGCTGGACATTTATGTTCAATTTATCAGTGCAAATCATTTACTGAAATAGCTGTTGTGAGATGTACAATCTGATCATAGTGATGCTCATCAACTGCAATGATAAGATTTGCAGTCTTTTCTGCAAGAAAATTTGCTACCACATTCCAAAAAACTTTATATTTTTCTGGACTTTCTTTGTTATAGTTATACAAGTCAATAGTAACATCAGAATTATCTAACTTTAAGACAAGCTATTTAATGAGCATCAACTTTTGCTTCATTTACAGACTTAGCAGCTAATGTATCACCTGATAGCATTCTATATATCATTTATAATAAGTTAATTTTTCTTTTGCCAATAGGAGCTTATAGGTGTGAAATAAATTAATTCTCATAGCATAAATATAGTATTGAGATGCATTATTCTGTAGTTCTTTTACAATGTATGCATCTTCTTGTAACATTTTGGTTTCTTCAGCATTTTTTTTAATTTTCTAGATCAAAATAGCATTGTATGTATTATTGCCTAAATTATATTGATATTCACTAATTTTAAACATAAATGCTTATAGAAGACCTTGTATAAACTGTAATTGTTGCCTAAGATTAAGTAAAATAGTAAGTTAAATAATATATATGATATAATATATGTATTTAATTATATATTTACATTGAATCTAAGGGCAAATATTCTTCTATATTGAATGGTCTCCAGAGTTGAAATTTTTGTAAAGTATTTTTGAGCTCTTAATATCATGTTTGATAATATGGCTTTATCCAATTATTGGCTTCATGGATTTTTAATGATGTGGCTTCCTCAATGCTTCAAACAAAAACTTTACTTGTATGATTACTTGCAATTACTTTTTGCTACTATTGTAAATAATTTATATAATTAGAAATTACAACAATTAACTCTTCAAATTCTTCATATAGCTAGCTAAAAGTTGTTGACTATATTTATAAAGAAGAAAAATATGGCACAAGCACTTGACAATAAAGGTTGAGTTTATCTGTGACAAATGGCCTCCTAGCTTCTTTATATAATTTTGGATTTGCATAATCTAAAAACTCATAAAATAGATAAGAGATATGGAAGCTTCTATATTCCAATATTTTATAATCATATATGTTTATATAGCAAAGCATTTTGGATAAGATGCTAATAAACAGTTTTTCCTGATTATTAGTATATGTTTGCATTAACCAGCCATTACCATGAGATTTGATCTAGTTGATTATATCTAATCTTAATATTTGTTTATGATTTGGCTTTTTCAAATATACAAAATTAGGAATATACAATTTATTCTTATTTCATTTTGCTGTTTGTATAAAAATATCTAAACCATTTTGGTAATTATAAGATACTACTTTCTTATGCAAATGATAATGGATATTTGTTCCAAATATATTAGTAAGTTTGATAATATTACAATCAGAGCTTGTTAGTATAACTTTTGCTAAATTTGCTAGTTTAATTATTTTGATAGATTTAACTTGTTCAAAATCTAAGTTTGGTACTAATATTTTTTGAATAAGTTTTTGAAAAATTCTTTTACTAACATTTTATAGGAAATTAGATGAATATACCATTCATATAATATTTTTGAATCTTGTGAAATATGTATATTTGCAATAGTTATTTTAAAAGTTTGACTAAACTGGTAAGCAAAAAGGTTGCATTTAGAGTTTTATTCAAGGTCAAAAAGCACTATTTAAATACATTTTCTGTGATCTAATTCTACACTTAATCTAATTTTTTTCTACTTATTATCAAGCAATGATGCCTATACTATTTTTCTAACTTACACTTTTCAAATAACAGTTATATTTTTTTTGCATTATCTGGTTGGCTTTGAATCAATTCATGACTTATTTAAACATAACTTCTCACATTGATCTGGTTGGCTTTAAATCTTTTTATGACTTATTTAGACATAGCTTAGATCTTCAAAAAAGAACTATTAATATAGAATAGTTTTCTATATTTGGAATAACTATACAGTCTTTGCGTTATTCAAATTTTTTTAAGAGCATTACTAAATTTAACTTTCAGTATACTAGCTAAGTAATAGATAATAAATATATATAGAAGAATATTTAAGTTCTGTATAATACATTTTAATCTTTTAAGAAACATATAATTTAATAAATAATTATACTAAAAATTATACTTAAATGATTTTTTTAGATAAGTGAATTTGATATCTTTGAATCTTAAATTATAGTATGCATCTACAATAAGGACTATATACATTTTGTTAATTTACTTTGAAAAACAATGAAGCTAGAACAACAATTGTTTGAAAAGTTCAGTACTGATTAAAATCAAAAAATTCAACATGCTGAATAATGCCATTCAGTGTTCATAGGCAGAAATTCATCTGATTGGCTAATGTAAATCAATTGCCCAGATAACTTATTTATATATTTTAAAGTACTTTTTGAAAATGCAACTTTACACAAGTAACTATTCTTAACAAACATAATCTTTAGCTTTAAAGAAAAGATTGTTAGTATATTGCCTTAGCTATCAGTATTGTTTGATTTGATGAACATACATTAAATACTAGCATCTTAATAAAAGATGAAATTTTAAGCTTTAGTATCATTTTAAGCAAACTACTAAATTTTTCTTTTACTTTTCTCTGTTTTTATATTCAATATGTCAACTAAATAACTTTCAAAAACTTATCTGGCAAACTAAACTAAACTGCTTAAAATATTTTATAATTTATTGCAAATTTTTAATTCAGAATATATTTATGTTAATTTCATAGTAGTAATATTTTGAGTTATGCCATATATTGCTCCAAAAGTTTTATTTGGTTAAAAGTTTATGCAAGCTGATAATATTTATAGTTTTAGAGTTATTATAACAGATACATTGGCTAAATAAAGAACTTTTGATGGTTATCAATTTGGTATTGATCTTGCAAATAGAATTACATCTGAAACTCCTAATTACTTACCAAATTAGAAAGGCAATGCATAAATTTGAATCTTGATATTTATTATGTTTAGAAGGTTAGATATTTTCAGTATTTTTAAAATTTTTTGTCTAAATCAAAATTACATATAGGATTGGTCACTCTGGTCTAGTCCATTCTGGTCTTCAATAATCCAGTTCTGTAATAATTATCAGTTCTATTTAGTTAGTCTTTTACAGCTATTTTTATAGATTCTAAAAAAGCTGAAAAAATTAACTAACTGAATACTTGTTGATCAATAAGTTTTGATAAACTTTTTATTTGAATGTAATCATATCCAAATTAAAGTTTATTAAAACCTATCAAAGCAGCAAATATTCAGTCAGTTAATTTTTTTTAGCTTTTTCAGAATTTATAAAAATAGCTGTAAAATAATTTGTTTCCATGTGAGCAGATTTTACCTTTTATAAAATTGACTATTTGTGATGAAGGTGTTTATGTTGTTAAGATTAGTAATAAGTAATTT